GTGGGTGAAAAAAAGTAAAGTTTCCGACTGTGAGATACGACTGTGAGATACAGCACCAATCTAGAAATGCATGGAACGAGAAGACCATGGTCCTCGAATTATCTGCTATTCAGGAAAATAGACCAGGTACATTAGGATATAGCGGTTTTGACTGTATCGGTTATAGACACCTATATATCTGGAGATATTATAAAAACCAGGAATCTGGTTAGCCCTGTAGCTGGAGCAAGGGGTTGCAGTTGCAGTAGTGTTGCAACCCCAGGCGCTAATTAAAGCCAATGGTTGCATAGATATAGAGTCTCGCCATGTGGCGAACGATTGGAATTGTCAATAAGGAAAAGGAATTGCTGAGCCTGAAACCAGTGCAATTGCAACCTTTACACAATCCTGGGGGCCGTAAAATGACCCAATCATCATTAGAAATCCCATTTGTAGTATATTACCTACATATATAGCTCCTATCTATAGATTTAGAAGATAGGCAATAGGTTATTCATAATGTTCAAGAGATTATACGCCGTATATACGGTGGCAAGAGCCAAGATATGATAATCCAATTCCACAGAGCCAACCAGTGGTGACTAGGTAACTTTACTAAAAGTAATATCCGATGAGTTTCATACATGCATATCATTAACGTATATGCTTAACTCGTACGGAGAATAACGAACCCACAAGGTGGACTTTCACTCCGGGGAAACCAAAACCACGGTATCCTTGGCTAGGAAGATAGAGGGTAGCAATTGACGAGATCAAATTTTGGCATCATGGCATTTCCCTCTGTGAGGGCCTTTTGAGAGTAATGAAACTGGAAGCGAGGATAGTAAATTTATGAGAACGTTCACCATGTAACTTAACTTTTTCCCTTGAGCAGCCGGCAGGCAACTTGGGTATATATAGTTGTATAGGTTGTACTACCAGATATACAACCTTGCATGCTATACTCTAGCCGTCTTGGTCATATGCCCGTTTCTTACTTCTAACGGAAATAAATACATAGCACTAGCACTGGGTAGTATTGGATTCCATGGTTCTTTGACTACGCCGCAACGGACCCTCTTTGCGACATCTCCAACTAACGCGAAGTGTAACGTAAGAGTCATGACCACTCAGTTCTTCTACATAATGTGAGTCGAACCATAAGATAGACCTAATGATAGATACAGAGTAGCACGGTGACCGAAGCTGGAAATTTGCCTTGAGTATCCTAAAGGCGAAAAACTTATGGAGTCAACAAAGTCTACTATACCCAGTTGGTAATGTAGATTTCGCATGGACATGGGGAGGGATCCAGACTCTCTCAGCCCTATGGCAAAATGATAACCACGTGCCTGTTCCACCTATAAGCCCAACCACCCCTCGTTAGATAAAGGCGGAGTAGCTTACCAATAGTCTACATGGTTCAGCTATATTGTCTCCAAGTAGCCGTTTTGAAGATAAACCTTGATTTATCGAAGATATCATTATCTGACTAGATGATGCCGGGATGATGGAGTTTTTTATATACATCTATATAAACGTGTAGTGTTACCATGTGAGCCCTAGATGAGAAAAATGCATCTGTTGTCGCGCGAAGAACTAAGCTATATAGGTAACTGTGTAAAGCACCGTGGTCCGTTTACCTACAAGCAATTTCTTTGTCTTGTTTTCTAGGCAAAGTTCAGCTTTTCACCCATAGTGAGGCTATACCGCTGTTAGCTGCCTCCAAGAACCAGATCTAGAAAAGCGGATCTACGTCCTATTACGTCTTACGGAACACGCATGTCATCTGTTTTCTTCGCTAACGATGTAGTCGTTGGATATGAAGCCATAACTGCAGTGATTATTTAAAATACTATACTCTATACAGACCTAGTAACTGCTTCTCTAATCCAAAAGCGACACGGATCGCTCGGTAACCTCTAAACTTCCTCCATAGGTACTTACGCCGTAAATCTCATACCTCGGCAATAGTTCGTTATGTACATAAAGTTAGGAATCTTACCGCGGTATATACAATCATGAGGTGAGAAACGTCTGTCAGACGTGCCAAGTTTGGTGTTCGTTAGGGCACTATTTTGCATTGCTTATAAACACTTGGGTAAATATTTCGTAGTGAAAACAATATTGAAGAGGGTTTGCTAAGCCTCTCCCCAGTAGTCATAGAACAACCCCCCACTTCTCCCTTCCAAAAGGGTGGATACCTTATGGTTCTGTACAATGAAGGCACCCATCATGGTGTTGTAGTCTTGGGGAGTTAGAAATATGACCATCTATTATATCTCGTTTGATGTCCAATAATACACATCTTTATTCCCTCGGTTTATCGTATAGCCTTAGCTCCCCTGGTCTCACCTATGGTAATAATATGGTAAATAGTTTTCTTGCTTCTAATACACTAACAGTCCAAAGCTAGTATTTGAAGCTAATAGCTTGAAATGCCATATTTGTATACTTGTGGACATTAGAGTAAATATCAGGCTTAGCAGCATGTGAAGTGAGGATTATATTTTATAGTTGAGTTGCCTGTAAGGCTAATGACTATCAAGGAACTTAGCAGGGCAAAAGACTTCTACCCTAGAGATAAACTACTAACTACCTAGTTATTTCGGTGAAATTAGGCATCCGTCTTATCCTTTACATCATTTCCAAAAAGAAGTCTCACTCAGCAGTAAACATGGGTGTTTCATAGCGGCACATAGACTATAGCTTGATACAGAGGCTTAGTTGGTGATGCTCGATCTAGTAGCCTCGTGATAGTCGAGACCACAAATGTCTTAGAATCGACATATTATTCCCTACGATAGGATAGGCGCGACAATATCGAGCTAGCTGAATACTAAATACAGAGATTCATGAGACTTGATTTACTCCTTAGGTGCTAAGTTATAAATACTTCGTCTGTCTCCTGTTTCTAGTAGTGGTGTAACACAGCAGTATCATCACCATCGTTCTTAGACTTGAACCACTTTATTCTAATATTTAAGCATAATCATTCTTCTATATATTGGTTGTCGTCTAACACACACCCCTCTCAACCTATCGAGCGCATATTCTCTTAACCAGCGGCGTTACACTCCAGAGTAACTACGTACATCATAGGCCTAGAACCCATCCTCTCACAAAAGCTAGTGTCTCCTTTTTTTTTCTCTTCGGGTTTATCAAGTCAACTATATTTCAGATAATCTCAAGATGGCCAACCCCAGCCCATTTATCCAACCATCGAGCGACATCAAAGAGGGCTCCGAGTTAGCCCGGCGACTCGATATTGAGTCTCTACTCTCGGACGCTAGATATGACATTTTAGCATTCTCGGATGTTGCCGAATTAAGTGACGCCCAGAGAGCAGCTGCGGCTGACTGCATGAACAGAGCGCTGCTTGCGTTCTTTAAAGATATCGGGTTTGAATTCCGCCCAGCACCTGAAGACTCCGAGCTTCGCAGAAATCTCTTCGCATGGGGACGATCTACATTTGCAAAAGCCTGCGAAGAAGGATGGCCAGAAGCCGAGCAGATTCTTGACTTTACGGCGGCAATTATCGAGGCTTTCTTTCCATTGGCAGGACCAGACTCCAGACTACAGCTCGCTGTCACCATGGCAGTAGCTAACCATGCCGAGAAGTATGGAGAAAAAGCGGCATTTGCAAAGAGCTTATCCCACTTCGCGCTCAGCTTGCTACTGCAAAAGGATACTAACACTGAGGATTGGCAAATCATGTATAGCGATATTTTGAAGGGCTTTGTGGAGCACTTTGGGGCGAACGATCCCCGAATAGGGACGTTTGGGGCTATCAATATGGTCCAGTTCATTGAATCAGCTTTCACGGAACAGCGTTTCTCTCAGGAACTCCCACCTCACTTCTCACGGGTCACACCAAGGATGAAGAACCAAGGCGGTTCTGATGGTTTTCCATACTTTCTTCGCATGGCTACCGGAGTTCCCGCTCCGTTTATTGTTGGCATTATGAAGCCATCTAGAGACGACGAGGTTCCCTACGACTACTGGATCACGAGTGTAGTAAACTTGATCACCTTTGTCAACCTCGGAAACGACCTGGTTTCGTGGCCAAAGGAGGTCCGAAGGGGCGAAACAAACAATTACATGTCCTTCCAAACCCATTCCCGTCAGCAGGCCGGCGTATCTTCCCAGTTCCAACCCGGGAGCGAATGGACTTTCCGAGACACGCTGTGCGAGATAATGAAGATATTACAGACTGCTGTAAATGACCTAGACAAAGAGTTTATCCACTTCGCGAAGTAAGTCTCAAAATCAAATGAATACCAAATAGACCTTGGATGCTAATTGCATAATAGCACATGTTCGGAAGAAGAACGAGTAACTTGGAATGCTGATTATGCAAGCCGCGCCTGGCTAGGCTTCAAGCAGGGCTACATAACTTGGCACTTACAACAGTCTAAATACGGACTTGACCGCCTGCGAGAGGCAATAAGCAGCGGATTAGGAGAGGCAGGGTTATAGATGTGTTGAAGATAACATAATATCCAGAAAAGTAGATGGATATTAGCATGTGGTGTTGATATTTGAACTAACATACTTGTATGTTAATGATAGAAGTTTAGAATTTCCTTTTCCTCCAAACTATTACATTATTAGTATTTAGGCGTTCAAGGAACTTCCATGTAGACTAATAGATGCCTAGCCAATCATATTGTTGCTCTCGTTATCAGCATACCTGACGTGGTATTTTCTTTAGAGTGCATACGCATGCTTCAGAAGTAAATCAAGGGGCACCAAATAACACGGGCTTCGATGCATAAGACCTAAGTTGCTAACTAGGAAACGAACCATTATCATGAATGAGGTATATTAACCTAGTCTTGCAAGAAAGGTTCCTCTAGCAATCATAAATGCACAAAATAATAAGGGGTTGATCTGTTATTAATCGATCTTATACATCGAGCTAGCCGTAGCATTTAACGCTTACTCGTTAGTGCTACACATTAACTCACCTGACTGAGCCAATTATATTGTTCAGAATGAGATGCAAAAAAATTGAATTCTGAGAGCTGCAGGATTCGAACCTGCGCGGTTTCCCATTGCGGTTTTGAGGTATCCCCATTTGGTGGATGATGACCTAAACACAACGCCTTAACCACTCGGCCAAACTCCCATGGAGGATGAATCATTGCTAGGAAGTATTATATCATAAAATGACAAACCAAATTTGTGAAATCTAGAGAAAGAAACTATTAAGATTTTGCTTTATTGGTGTTGAGGTTCTGTGCATCAGGCGGGATTGCTGAAATGGAGGAAAGGTCTAGTATTCGGCAGATATATGAAAATGATAACTATTAGGTAATTGTGTCTAGTAACATCATCGCTTTATCCCTATCACGACTCGGTTTGGACGAGATTATATGAGAGTAAGTAAAGTGTTAGGATTAATAACTAGAAAAGCTTCATATTAAGTGCTGAAAACATTTTAGGGTCAGAAGAATACGAGCGTATAAAAAGCATGACCAGTCCGATCTCGATAAAATAACGATATAGCTCTTGTCTGCTTTTCATAGCCTAGAACTGGGTTTAGACCAGTTATTTGAGTAAACGGGGAGGTAGTCTAAAGCTTCATGGGACTCAGCTTATTGTACATATATTAGAACTACCCATCTTGTTGGAGTAAAAGTTAATCAGGGGCTAAACATGCGAATTCTGCCATCTCACAATCCTAACCTAATCACCCCCTTATTATCAAACAGAGACATCCAAAGCCCTATGATTTTTAGCTTCTTATTTTATTTAAAAAAAATCAACTGTACTGGGGATCTGACTTGGGTATCAATAAGACTTGTTTCCTTCCCCTTCATCTATAGCCGTCCCTTTACTCTACATACCAAAGCTCTAGACATCTAACCAATTCCGTCTAGTACTCTATCAAACTCCGAGAACATCATCAATATAAGCTTCCTTAAAAGCTACTCCCTTTTCTGTCCTGCAAATAATCAAACTAATATGATTCCACCTGCCGCCGGGTCGCCCTCCGCCGCCCAAGGGTATCCCACCGCTCCGCCTGTGTCCCGAACTCAGGCGGCAACCCCGCCAGCCTCCGGCTCGCGCGTGTCTTCTCGTACACTTTTTTCTGTGGCGGCTGCTGCTGCCTCCCCTTTCTTCCCCGTACCACACGATCCTTCTTAACCTCAACACTAGGTCCCTCATCACTACGCCGTCCCTCAGCCCGCGAGACCTTTTCCACCGCTAACCGGGATCTCTCCGCAGCTTCCTGTCTGCGCAACAGCCCCCTCGTAACGATTCGCCTCGGTGGCGACTGTGGTGGCGGCTCCACACCCCCTACTCCCTCACCAGACTCCCTCTCCTCCATAAGCGCAAACTGCTCCCTCACCCACCGCACCAACAATCCCTGCCCTTCCAGCACCCTCTCCTGCGCCTCGCACGCCTCCCCCGCCTCCCGCCGCCTAACCACCGCCCCCAGCACCTCCCGCGCCGCGCTCAACTCCCTCTGCGCCGCCCCCAGCCGCCGCGTCCGCGCCTGCGCTTCCAGCACCGCGTACAGCGGGTTGCGGTGCCGCGGGCCCTCATCGGCCAGCAGCTCCTGCACGCGGTCCTCCGCGCGCGCGACCGCGTCCCGCGCCCGCCGCTCCTCGCCCACGGAGTAGCTTGTCTCGCCGGAGAGGCGGGCCTGGCGGCGGCGCAGGTGCGCGAGCACGGCGGCGTGGCGCGCCTGCTGCAGCGTCTCGTAGAGCAGGTACTCGCCCCAGGTGGTGCGGGCGTCCTGCAGCGCGGGCGACGGGTGCAGGTGGATGTTCGCCGGGGCCAGGCGCGCGCGCGCGGCTGCGGCGTAGCCTGCGAAGCTTTCGGCGCCCCCTTCTTGCTGCGCCCAGAACGCGCTGTCGCGCGCGCGCGTGCGCTCGAGAGACGCCCATTCGCTTCGGAAGTAGCGGCTGGGATCCTGCTCAATGTGCAGGAGGAGCTCGGCTTCGCGCATGCGGACCATTCTGGCAGGGTGGGTTAGAAGGAGGTGTATTAGGGGTATGCGGGTAATATGGTTTTGGCATGATATCCTGGGGATTATACATCCCGGCCTAGAAAAGCAACCCCAATTCCTATCCTCACCCACAAGACAGGACTAAAATAGGGGGTTAAAGACAACACTGCTCCTCCTCTCTCCCCTCCTCATTTCACGTATAAATTAAATAAAAGCAAATCAAACCTTCACTTACTGACTAGTCCGCATAGCCGCATGCGCAAAATGCTCCTCCTCAGCATCATAAATGCCCCGGCGCGTGCGCTGCCAGCGCTGGAAATCCTGCCACCGCCGCAGCTGCTTGAAGTACACGTTCCAGTCCAGCGACCGCCCGTCGGGCAGGTGCTGCCACGGCCGCAGCATGGAGCGGTACTCGTCTGGGTTTCGGAATACTTTGGGCAGTAGGGCGATGGGGTAGGGGGGCCGCCCGCCGAGGGACAGGAGGTCGGCGTGGCAGATACGCTCGAAGCGCAGGTTCTCGTCTTCGGCGGCGGCGGCGGTGGGTGTGAGGTTAGGGTTGAGTTCGTGTTCTTGCGATGGTGGTGGTGCTGGTGGTAGTCGGGGTGGCTGCTCTGGCTGGTCTGACACGACCCCCTTTCCGGCCTTTGAGATCTTGACGAGCCGGGTGGCGAGCTCGGCGGCGTCCACGGGGCGGGATTGTGTCGCATCGATCGCTTTCTGGGCTGCAGATCTGTAGCTCCTGTTAGCGATCAGGACTGAAGGTCCATTTTTCTTGTTGCCTCATGAAATGATGTTACCTGAAGCGCTGCGCGAGGCTGTCTCTCTGGGCTTTCGGCAGATCATCCCATCCTTCTAACTGGAAATTAAAATTCCCATCCGGACGGCGATGCTCTTCAAGGTACTGGATAAGCTCTGCTTCGCTAAAGGACTGAATATCGTCAACCGATACTTTCGGGGTTGCGTGCTCGAGAATCTGCATCTTGCCGTTGCGCAACTCAGTTGACTTAGGGACAAGATGAGTCCAAGTGTCGAGTTGAGGTTCCCCAGATCCACCTCTTCATTCTGTTGGATTCTTTGTCAAGGCTCTCCATATCCTCAGGCAGCAGTTAATGCAGGTATCACAGGCTTTTTTCCGAACAAGATGTAAGTTGTTGTCAATGAATCGCACGTGAATGTGTTTGTAGGTATGTGGAAGCCGAATGCGGAAGTACTATTGGTACTATATCTCCGGTGAGGGAGTACGGCCCCCATTCCAAGCTCTGTCGTACAACTCCTGACTCGGAATAAAGGTATTGATGGAATATTGAAACTCCTCAACAGTTAATTGATATATAGGAACTATATAATTACATGGGACTCAGATTGCATTGTAACCTTTTAGTTGGTTTGCGTGCCCTGGTGTAAGCTGAAGTGGTCTTGGTTACTAGCTTCAACTTATAAGTTACATGATCATGTCTGGTGTTGCTATATCAATGTATACTGTGAAGTCTACCTAGGTAAACTCAACTTTATTAGAGCTAACATCAAACTGTTTCTAGTAGTACTAGTTTTGTTCGTGAATGATTGACGATGATAAACGGTAATAACCTACCTATTCATGTTATGACAAGAAGATTGCTTTCTTGGAGAACATGGAACAGGAACTATTGATGTTCCTATGCAAGATTCCGTTCTGAAGTGTTGCTTTTTTATACTAAGACCCGATTCAATTGACACATGAATTTAGATTGTATTTAATTGGCTTAGGTGACCTATTATTAGACCAACATGTTTATTGCATTGCTTCATCGGTTATGTTCGCCAATTCTGGCATACAAAGATGATATGATGTCATCTGCCTTGTTGGTTACTCCATTCCAATGCTTTCTCGTTCCAACTCTCCAACAGCAGGACGTGGACAAGAAAGAAAAAGCCCCCACCCGCCACTTGTTGGCCCAAACTGTTAACCAAGGTAAGTTTATAAGTTATATTGCATTGATAACCTGCATTGTACGCATATCGGTTAAATCACCGGAGCCCTACGAGGAGGTACCAATTGATCAATAGAATCGGTCAGCGATTCTGACTATGACCTATCAGAACCACAAATCATCATCCTAGATAAAAAAAAAAGTAGACGAAAGGAGAACCACGGAAAAGAGCGCATCCGGTGGCTCTGCTAAAACGATAAAAAAAAAAAAAAAGATAAAAATAGGTAGATTATATCGAAGGGGAGAGAAAGGAAAACGGTTGGTTTAGGTATTTATTACGCAAAACAATTGGTCTCAGATAATGTAATGGAATTGACTTCTTTCTGTTTCCAACCCCCATGAAAACCCACGTTTCTGGGGGAAGGCCGTAAGAAAAAAAAAGAAGACTAATAAGAAAACCCACGAAAGTGCTTCTGCATCTGATGCGTCACATTGCCTAAAAGCCGCTTAGACTATTTGTAGTTAGAAAATAATCAGGGTTTCTAGTGTAAGGTAGAGAAAACGTAAAAGAAAAAACCAATCGCTTCTTTGGATTGGATTATGTGTTGCTTGCATATCAGTATCTAGGTAGGTAATGTAGCGGTGGACTTTCTTTTCTTTTTTTTCCCCCCTTTTTCTTCCCCTTTCCCTTTTATGCTAGGCTAGTCAACAACTTTCGGCTTCTTAGGGTATTAGAGGTGGAAACCTGGGGAGTATGTACTGGTTTCCCCCTTTGGTGAAAAGGATCACGGAGTACCTCATCTCGAATTGACGGATCCCACCGATCCGATCCGAGATTCTGCCCAGCCTCACAGCCCCGAAAGGACCGAGAACCTACTTACCTGTTACCTAACGACATGCCGCGGTATAGGCGCGTAAATCCTGTATGTTTCTGCCCTGGGCTGTAGGTAATGCGCATGTATGTACGTATGTATGTATGTATGTATGTATGTATGTATGCATGTAGATATGTATAATGAGTGACCCATTGCGGAGAGAGAGGGAGCGAGAGAGAGAGCGGTCTCCATCGTATATCCTCTTACCGCAATTTCATTGGGAGCCGCATCTCCGCCTCCATGCTGTTTCTATCGAATCTATCTACGACTATCGGCAAGCAGGTATCCGTAAGATCGGCCGGCTCGTCTCATTGGCAAGCGCACATACCGGATTGTCGGTTATCGACTGGGGATGATCGGGTTTTGATAACAATATTTCCCTGCA